CTGTCCATCGAGGGGTCAGGCCAGCCAGGCTGAACAGCCGGCTCCGCTGGTGCCACAGCAGGTGCAGTAGCACTGGGCCCCGTGGCCGGCACAATGGTACTAGTGGGCACCATGGCCCCCGACGCAGCCCCCAGTGGGGGTTTGCTCAGTGGCCGGAGCCTCAGAAGAGCCAACAGCCTCCCTCTCCCAGTCTCTGAGGAAAGAGTCGGTGGGACATACATCCTTGGCACCGTGCCCAGAGACCAACCAGGTGGTGGAACCTCCGGTGCTGGTGGGTATGCAAAGTATGGTGCCGGCCTCCTCGCCCCTCCCCTGATGAGGCAATTACGGCCTCTCCTCCCTCCATCCCGCAGGAGGACTCTAAGGCCCACCAAGAACTATTAAAAAGGATGGCATCAAGCCTCAACCTCCAGGCAGAGGAGGTTGAGGAGCCCTCTGACTTCCTGTTTAACGTACTGTCCACCTTGGTATCGGTCAGGGTGGCCTTCCCTCTCCACAAGGGGGTGGCGAAAATTTCAAATGCCCTGTGGCAAACCCCAGCCCCATTGGCCCCCATCTCTAAGAAAGCGGAACACAAGTATTTTGTACCCACCCAGGGGCATGAATACACCCATCTTGCCCCTAATTCTCTGGTGGTCGAGTCGGTCAACCACAGGGAGTGGCAGGGCCAACCAGCCCCTACTCCAAAAAATAAAGATTCAAGGAGGCTGGACTCATTTGGAAGAAAAATTTATTCATCCTCGAGTTTTCAGTTAACGGGTGGCAAACCATCAGGCTCTCCTGGGCCGGTATGAGTTCAACCTGTGGGGCTCTTTGCCCAAGTTCGAGGACTCCTCCAGGAGCGTTGCAGGAAGAAGTTCAAAGCACTGGTGGAGGAGGGTACAGCGGCTGCCAGGGCAACCCTGCAGGCAGCATCGGATGCGGCGGATAAAGCCGCGCAGTCCATGGCCTCCGCGGTGTCCATGAGAAGGGCGTCGTTGCTCCTGCTGTCTGGGCTGTCCAGTGAGGCGCAGACCTCCCTGCAGGACCTCCTGTTTGATGACAAAGCTCTGTTTGTGGAACAGAGAAACGTAAAACTGCATGGCCTGAAAGACTCCCGCACGACGCTTCAGACTCTGGGCCTCTATCTTTCGGCTCCGGCTAAACCTAAGTTTAAGCTGCAGCAGGCGCCCGCCCAGGCCAACCACTCTAAATATGAGCCCGCTTATAAAAAGTCACGGGACTATAAGAAACGCCTGCAGAGGCATTCTTGGCCTGCCCCCCCCCACCCTGGGTCCTCCAAGGGCAATCAGGCAGGGAAACGGCAGTTTTGACGGGACGCCCAGGGGTGCCCTGCCAGTTCTCATCAGGAATCCACCCACAGTAAAGCTTCCCTTCTCCAACTGGTTGTGTGCTTTCTTCCCGGAGTGGTTGCAGCTGAACTCGGACCAATGGTTCCTCAACACCATCTCCCGGGGTTACACCCTCCAGTTTACCTCCACCCTGCCCAACCACCCTCTGCCCCCTGTCCTTCCTGGGAGACCCCTCTCACGAGGCTCTGCTCAAGCAGGAGGTGGGGCGGCTCCTTGGCCTAGGAGCGGTGGAAGTGGTGCCAGTGGAGTTCAAACGCAAGGGGTACTACTCCCGCTGTTTCCTTATCCCGAAGGCCAACGGGGGGCTCAGGCCCATCCTGGACCTGCGAGGCCTCAAGCAGTACATGGTGAAGCCCAAGTTCCGCATGGTCTCCATGGCCTCCATCATCCCCTTTCTGGATCCCGGGGACTGGTTCGCCGCCCTTGATCTGCAGGACGTGTACTTCCACATCCATATATTCGAGGGGCACAGACGCTTCCTCCGTTTCATGGTTTGGCAGGAGCACTACCAATTTACGGTCCTCCTGTTTGGCCTGTCCACTGCCCCCAGGGTATTTACAAAGTGTATGTTGGTGGTAGCGGCCTACCTCAGGCACCGGGGGGTCCAGATTTTCCCCTATCTGGATGACTGGCTGGTCAAGGGCAGCTCCCGGTCGCAGGTGCGGGATCACGTCGTGCTCCTTCTGCCCACGTGCGTCACTATGGGCCTGTTGGTAAACGACACCAAGTCCACGTTAGTCCCGGTACAATGCATAGAGTTTATCGGGGCAGTCCTGGTCGCCACGTCGGCCAGAGCCTCCCTCCCTCAGGGCAGGTTCGAGACCCTGAAGGGGCTCATCGGCACGGTCACAAGGTTTCCAGTGACAACAGCCAGAGCATGCCTCCAGCTCTTAGGTCACATGTCGGTGTGAACGTATGTGGTCCGCCACGCCAGACTCAGGATGAGGCCCCTCCAGCTCTGGGTGGCCTCGGTGTTCTCCCAGGTCAGAGACAGGATGGACAAAGCCCTCACTGTGCCCAAACCGGTGATCGCCTCCCTACGATGGTGGTCCTCCCTGGGGAACATGCTCCACGGGTCCTGTTCAGAGGCAGGCCCCCGTCGATGGAACTGGTGTCCTATGCATCGGACCTGGATGGAGAGCCCATGTGGGGGACGTTTAGACTCAAGGTCTGTGGTCTGTGCAGGACCTGGCCCTCCACATAAATGTCAAGGAGCTCAGGGCGGTGAGGCCGGTGTGCATGGCTTTCCGCTCGCACCCGGAGGGCCGGGTGGTCAGGGTTCTCATGAACAACACAGCCTCAATGTTTTACAACAGCAGGCAAGGCGGGGCCCGATCCTCTGCCCTTTGCCAGGAAGCCCTCAGGCTGTGGGACTTCTGTATAGCCCATGACATTTGCCTACAGACCTGCCACCTACTTGGCACCCGGAATTCGTGGGCAGGGTACTCCCCAGGTGGACCTGTTTGCGACTCGGCAGCTAGACAGGTCTCGGAACTCAGGGCCCTGACCTCTGAGCCCCCGTACATGGTGTTCCATAAGGATAAGGTCCAGCTCTGTCTACATCCTTCGTTCCTCCCGAAGGTGGTCTCCGCCTACCACGTGGGTCAGGACAGTTTCCTGCCGGTCCTCTGCCCAAACCCCATGTGTCCAGTGAGGAGCGCCACCTCCACATGCTGGATGTGCGACGGGCTCTGGCTTTCTACCTGGAGCGGACAAAACTGTTCAGAAAGTCCTCACAGCTGTTCATCGCCTCGGCTGAATGCGCGAAGGCTCGGCCGATATCCACTCAGCGGCTCTCCAACTGGATCACATCGTGTATCCGTACCTGTTATGACCTGGCGGGAATTCCCCCGCCATCAATTGTGAGGGCACACTCGACTAGGGCGCAGGCCTCGTCAGCCACCTTTTTGGCCCATGTCCCCATCCAGGACATTTGTAGGGCTGCTACGTGGTCTTCAGTTCACACTTTTAACTCGCATTATGCGATTGTCTCCGAAACCAGGGAGGACGCTGGGTTCAGCAGGGCTGTGCTCCGTCCCGAGAATCTGTGAACTCCTACCCACCTCCAACAGATATAGCTTGGAATCACCTATTGTGGAATACACATAAGCAATCACTCGAAGAAGAAAAGACAGTTACCTTTTCCGTTAACTGGTGTTCTTTGAGATGCTCATGTCTATTCCACATTCTGCCCTCCTTCCCCTCTATTGGAGTTGTCTGGCAAGAAGGAACTAAGGGTGGGGAGAGCATGCAGCGCCCCTTATACCACGCCATGGAGGTGCCACTCCAGGGGTTGCTAGGGGCGCTCCCCTACAGGTACTGCTAGGGGGAAAACTTCCGACACCAGTGCACATGGCGAGCATGCACACCTATTGTAAAATAGACATGAGCAACACATCTCGAAGAACACTAGTTACAGAAACTGTAACTGTCTTTTCCCCTCTATTCAGCACTGGTGAGGCCACATCTGGAGAATTGCATCCAGATTTGGGCCCCCCAGTACAGAGAGGATGTGGACAAATTGGAGAGAGTCCAGCAGAGGGCAACAAAAATTATCAGGGGGCTGGGGCACATGACTTATGAGGAGAGGCTGAGGGATCTGGGCTTGTTCAGTCTGCAGAAGAAAAGAGGGGGAATTTGATAGCAGCCTTCAAATACCTGAAAGGGGGTTCCAAAACGGATGGAGCTCGACTGTACTCAGTGGTGGCAGATGACAGAACAAGGAGCAATGGTCTCAAGTTGCAGTGGGGGAGGTCTAGGTTGGATATTAGGAAACACTATTTCACTAGGATGGTGGTGAAACACTGGAATGGGTTACCTAGTGAGGTGGTGGAATCTCCATCCTTAGAGGTTTTTAAGGTTTTTAAGGCTTGACAAAGCCCTGGCTGGGATGATTTAGTTGGGGTTGGTCCTGCTTTGAGCAGGGGCTTGGACTAGATGACCTCCTGAGGTCTCTTCCAACTCTAATCTTCTATGATTCTGTGAATTATAAATAAATCTTAAATTTGATTATTCATTATGTTTCTTTGTTTATCCACACAGACATTTTTACTCCAAATGTATCTCTAGAACTAGTTCAAATTCTAAAATGGTACTACAGTAACTTTGTTCTTTATACTCTCATCATGTGAAAGTTTGTCATTTGTTCCTCAATTTAAAATAAGGGGCTAACAAAGATGTATATGTAGCCCAGGGAATTTGTGGGACTTTCACTTGCATACCCATTGAGTAAGCAGAGTACACAACATTCTGTTATGGAGCAGAATATGCAGTGTTGTTCAACTCCAAGTGTCTTTAACTTGGCACTATAAAACTTGGGTTAGGCAAAGCTACATCTGGAAATGTGTCATAAATAAAGCCTTTCAAACACAGATATTCATTCCCAATGAAGAAATACAATGAGCATGTCATTGCATAGGCCTTTCTCTTTCTTTTTTCATTTTCACATTTCACAGACGGTTGAAAGAACTTGTCATTCTGTTTCTCTAGAATTTAACATTTTATGTAAAGCTAATTATGAGAATTTTCCTGTAGTAGCAGATGAAATACTAAAATTACATGGTAGTTCCCTTTAAGTGTGTTATTTTCAGAATATGTCTAGTCCTATAAGACAACTTGCAAATTAAAACAGTCTCCTTTGATTTGTAGATTCAAGATGCAGCAAGTCAAGGCTTGAAGTTTGTTGGAATTATACCTCAGTACAGTTCCCAGGTGAACTCCCAAGCCAGCGCCGCTGTGGCACCCACCGCTAACAACTCTGCACAACCACAAGATGTAAAAAATACATCAAACTATTCAGAGGATCATGCTTCATTGGATAGCAAGAAAGCAGATGATGCTAATGGATGCAGTGCACCAGCCTCAAGTGAGGAAAATGCTGACCAGAGTGTAGAGCTCAGTGGGGATGTAATAGGGGAAGAACCAGTTATTGAGCATCTGAGCTTAAACTCTGCAGGGGAGAATGGAGAGCAGTTTCAAGGAGAGAGCCCAAGTGTTTCACCAAGACTCAGAGAAGCAACAGACAATCAAGAAGGGGTAGCAGAAAGTGACACATCAGCATTGTGTACAGAACCACTTCCTGGAAGTAAGTACTGTAGTGACCTTTGATATGAACAAGCAAGTTTTAAACTGTTATGTTCACAGCATCTTGGAAAAGTGAATGTAGCATTGCAACAGGGAAAAGATGCACACTATGAATAATAAAACCTTTTAACCCACTTTTCAACTGGGCTGCACACTTCATGACCATTTAATCATAAGTTTTTAGGCATTCATAGGAGCAATAAAAGATCAGGTGCAACTCCATTGTGACCAGTTAGGTTTATCCTTCTGTGCTATTTCAGTGGGGTTTGCAGGGGGCAGTTGTCATCTCAGATTTGGGCTTCCCTCTTTAACTTATTTTTGCCTCTTTCTCACGTGGAAAGTTCATATGCTTGCTGTTCAGCTGGGTTTGTTTGCTACTGCTCCCTCTTGTGGTATTGAAGTCCTCAGAGCTCCTGAGCTTGGTTGATTTCCATCTACTACTTCCCCATCTGAAAAGATGATAATGTGCCCGAGAAGGCTTTACAGTTCTCAGTCACAAATGGGACAGTCCTCAAACCCTTTCAGTGTGTGTCAGCACCACTGTAGGTGAACAGATAGCGGAAAATAAAACAGCCCAAGAGTTCTGAGAACACAGAGGATATAGACTCTCAGACAGGTGGAGATGGTAGTTGCAGATCTCCAGGTAGGACAGGGTCAGATAGCAGTAAGAGGGAAGGGGTAGTTATTCATGGTAAATGTTCATTCTCATAAATTCATTACACTTGATCATTTTCATCTTCTTATTCTTATGTATTTGTTATTGGAGGGTGGTTCATCATAAACTATTTCCCTGTGTCCATTTTGTTGTCCTCTAGTTGCACATTCTACTTTAAAAAGAAGAACAGGAGTACTTGTGGCACCTTAGAGACTAACAAAGGTGCCACAAGTACTCCTGTTCTTCTTTTTGCGGATACAGACTAACACGGCTGCTACTCTGAAACCTGTCATTCTACTTTAAATGTGCCATTTTGAACCACTTAAAAAAAAATCTTGGCAGGGAGATGCCACCAGACTCCCTATTTGATCTGTTTACTTCAATAGCTTCACCTGCAATTACAAATAAGACACGGGTTAGAGCAATTTAGAAGCACAATGTCATTGGGGGAAGGAAATGTTTACTCTTACCTTTTCCCAAATTATTCTGAATTGAATCTCATGCTTAACGATTAGACCTTATAATATTTTCCCCTTTCTTGTCTAGCTTCTTATAAAACACTTTTTACACTAGTTTCTCATACTGTTTTGCTTAGTTGTCCATTTGGTATTAATTATTACTTTATATAATGAAATTCCACCTAAATTGTTTTCACAACCATCATCTCCTCGGTTGTAGTTTATTCCCATGCCTTATATTTTACATAAGCTTGTCCAAACTGTTCTATTCCTCTTAGGATTCTGTATCTGACAGTAAGAGTGACTTCTTAGCCTCCTCCATAGAATATTGGCCTGATTATTTGTATTTTTATATAACTAAGTTTTGAGGGGGCCTGAATCAAACTGGCCACCTTTTACTGTACTTTCTTAATTGTTTGTGGGACAGTAAAGCAGCCAGATTTATCCAAAGTAGATCCCAAAGTGGTTGCATTTGTCTCTTATTAGAATAGTTTATCCAGATTTGTATAAGACCCTTACGCATCTCAGCATTGTATTTGCATTTGCAACTGCTTCTAAACAAGGGGTATATCCAGTTCAGCCAGGCAAGTTACTCTCTCTTTCTTACATAAGAGTACTTTTGAGAATACTCATGTCCCATGTTTTATTTTCTCCTTAGCTTTACACTTTTCTACACTGAATTGTATGAGCCTCTTACTGCATTTGCCCATTCTTGTAGTCTGTGCATTGTATTATGAAGTTTATCCAGGTCTTTGGATACATAAAGTCAGGAAAATCCGGTTCCAATTTGATTTCCTGAAGGGCACCACTTGTCTGTCTGTCACAAATGGTTTCCATTCCCTAATTACATCTATCTTCGGACTCTGAGATAGCTCATCTGTGCCCAGCTTTCTGACAATTGTACTAAAACTTTTAGTTGTGGAACTTATTTTAAGGCCTTCTGGAAACCCCCAAAAATTTCACCCCAGCTGCTGATTCACTAGGCAAGATCTTCAGTTTCTCAGTCTCTGCTGACCTTCTTTGTTTAACTTCTTTCTCTGAGTGCTTTCTGATTTGAGAGTACTTCTCAGCCAGTGTACAGGTTGAGTAATGCTTCCATTTTCCAAGAATGGGGATCTGAGAAGACAGTTTTATGAAGTATCTCACCTGTAGCTGGATTTTTCCAAATATATTGTCCCCACCATATAGCTGATTTCTTTATTATTCTTGAGTGACCGTGAGTTCTTTCAGTACTTCCTTTTTCTCCCATGGAAAATGAATTTGGCATCAATCTTTCATCCTCCCTTGTGAACTCTGAATCCCTGCATAATTTTTGCATTGTCTCCCTTTTCTTTCACCAGACAGTGTCTGCTCTCTCGTGGACTTTTCTTCTCCTGAATTCATCTTTTGGAAATGGTTGTAGTATTTGTTACAGTTTGTGCAGTCTTTATTTCATTATTTAATTTAGGGTATGTCTGTTAGGGTATACTGTTGCTGGATGTATAATTACCAACTTGTGTACGCATGCCTGCACTAGCTTTGATTGAGCTAGTGTGCTAAAAACAGCAGGGTAGCCGTGGCGGCATGGGCGGCAGGCTAGGCTGTCCACTCAAGAACTTATGTAGGGTCTTGGATGGGATTGTAGTCAGGCAGCTAGCCTGTGCTGCCACTCTAGCTACACTGCTCTTGTAGCACTCTAGCTTAATCAAAACTGGCATGTGTATGTCCACCTGAGTTGGAAATTACATCTCCAGCTGCAATATAAAGGAACCCTTTGTGTTTCTCATTCTTACACTCTTACAATGTCATTTTTATGCTAGCTGATCTGTGTCTTTGCCTAATATTTTGTAGAGCCCACATGACTTTTTCTCATTTTTTATTACTCTTTGCATGTCTTTGTTTATCCACATTGACCTTTTCCTATTCCCATGTGTATGTATTGCCAAAAGTTTTATACAATTCACAGGCATACAGTACTTTCGCACAAGAAATTCTTCCAGTGCTTTTCCCACCTGCCTTTGTTTTGTCACCTAGCTAATCTCCCCTTATGTAGAAGTTTTTCTCTTGACTTTATTATCTGTATCTACTGTTACATTCTTGACCCAAGAATTTATTTTTATACCTGTAAAGAGCCAACCCCCAACTTAGCTACACAAATAATAGTAGTAGTAGTTGAACATTTCTCTTTTCTGTTTTTTTCTTTACTGAATTCCTCACTTCTCTTATTTCTTTTGAAATTCAGAATCTTTGTCCTTTTTGCTTGTACATTGAACCACTATCGACAGTGGCTTTCATCAAGGGGTCCTCCAAACCCGGATTGAAAATGATTTTAAGTGTACATGTAACCAGAATAAAATATTTTGAGTAACATTTCAGAAAATACCATGCTTTCTGAAACTACTGAAGAGGATTTTAATCTTTTTATACTTTGCTGAAAATCATTGTCAACAATGGCCTATTTTCAAGTGTAGACAGGACTTCTTTGGTATCAAGTTAGTTCTGATTACAAACCAGATCAGATTTTTCTTGCTATTGTTTGTTTGCCTACATTTACACTTTCACTCACGTCATCAAGGGCCTGGACTAATGCCTATTAAGGCCAATGACAGAATCCAGTTAACCACAGATGTGTGTAGGATCAGACCTGCACAGCTCAAAACCAAATCAAAATAGCTACCTCCCTACTTCCCTTTATTTCCAAGTTTAAAAGTGTTATAGTTATCATATCCACAAAAACCTTTTCCATTTATTTCTACCTTTAATAATCATGTCCTGGTTTATCTCCAGATAGTTAACATCTTTCCTGATTTATTTATGTTCTCTGTTTATATGCTTTTTTGAGTATTATACCCTTTTGAGTCAACTTATCATCACTTTGTTCTTTCTAAACAAGTGGTGTGTAGTGAGTGAATTCCTGTTAACATCCCCTTGATGGTATTAATTTTGAGATATGTCTCTTCTCTGAATCTCCTTCCTCCAGGACCCATCAGCTGTTGTTTCCCAACCTTCCTTTACATAGTGTGACAAAGTTCCTCCTCTATCTTGGTGGGTCCTGCGCTTATTGGCGGATTTTCTTGCCTCAGAGATTCACCCTGTGGGTTGGGGAACAGCCCAGAAACCTTCCCCTCTGGAAGAACCCACAGTCCAGGTCAATTGGGAGGTTTGGGGGGAACCCAGGCCCGCCCTCTACTCCGGGTTCCAGCCCAGGACCCTATGGACTGCAGCTGTCTATAGTGTCTCCTGTAACAGCTGCATGACAGCTACAACTCCCTGGGCTACTTCCCCATGGCCTCCTCCAAACACCTTCCTTATTCTCATCACAGGACCTTCCTCCTGGTGTCCGATAACGCTTGTGCTCCTCAGTCCTCCAGCAGCTCACCCTCTCACTCTCAGCTCCTTGCACCTCTTGCTCCCAGCTCCCCACACTCACACCACAAACTGAAGTGAGCTCCTTTTAAAACCCAGGTGCCCTGATTAGCGTGCCTTAATTGATTCTAGCAGCTTCTTCTTAATTGGCTCCAAGTGTCCTAATTAGCCTGCCTGTCTTAACTGGTTCTAGCAGGTTCCTGATTACTCTAGTGCAGCCCCTGCTCTGGTCACTCAGGGAACAGAAAACTACTCATCCAGTGACCAGTATATTTGCCCTCTTCCAGACTCCTGTACCCCACTGGTCTGGGTCTGTCACAATAGAGAGAGTACTGAGCTCTTCTCTGAGGTACACTCTCTATACTTGATTAAGCCTTCATTCGCTTTTCGCTCCCCACCATGCTTACTTCAACCAGGCTTTAGCTAAGTCATCGGCATTGTAATCCTATGGAACTCAGTTCCACCATCTGTGTTCACAGTAGTGACTTACTCTAAATTGTCTCTGTTTCCTTTGTCTTCTTTTAGTTCCACGATGAGGCCTCCATGAGAAAGAACTGTCAGAGTGACTCTCTCATAGTAACACCTGGGATTAGAAGATATTATCTTTACAATATAATATGAGATACTTCCAAGTTAATGGGCAGCCTGAATGTTTTATTATTTTTATTTCCTTTGAAAAAAAATCAGTTCAATTGGGGTCCATTCCTGCTGTGTTTGAAATCAATGGGAGCTTTACCGTTGACTTCACTAGGCCATTAATCGGGCCACTAAAATGTAAAATAACAATATGTGAATATTTTTCATTTTAGAAGTTTTACTGTTAAGTTAATGTTTCTTCCTTCCTGGGAATTTTATTATCTCTTTAGCTTCCACTTAGCCCCAATATTGCAGATCTCTGTGGTGATTTTGTTGTCTACAGAGACTTACCTAATGATGAGATTAAATTCATCGCTCCTCAGGTGGGCTGGAAGCTACATCACACACACCAATATCTAATGTCCTCATCTTTAGGGATCTTCACAATTCCACTTTTCCTTCCTATTCATCTGCTCATCTCTTACTGCTTTGCCTCTTCTCAGACCCATTTGGCCTCCATATTTGTTTGATCCACTGTGCATTCCTGATCTTGGCTCTCCCACTTGCCATTTCTGCGCGCAGCCCATATAACACCGAAATAAGTTATTTACTTCTTTAGTGGAAGGTCATATCATTGGAAATGTTACTTGCCCTAAATTTACAGTAAGATCTCAGATTTGAGCTATGTCCTTGATATCACAGTTAGTAGCTATCTCCTTTGTGGCGCATACACAAAGGCAAACAACTATACAATTTTGGTGAATTTGCTAATAATATATTCTACAATGATAAATTTTACTAGTAAAACTCATTTGTTTCTACTATGTTATTTATTTATGCTGGTCGACTGTCCCTCTGAGAGGGAGTTCCATATTACAACTAGTAAATATTTATATTATGATAAGGCCCCAGTCAGAATTTGGGACCCTGTTGTGCTGGGCGTTGTATAAACATGTAAAGGAGATGACCCTGCTCTGAAGAGTTACAATAGAATGACAAGCAGACAAAAGGGGAAGGATCTGATTATGATAGTTATAATAGGAAACAATAATTATAATATTATAATATGTTTATTATAGTATTACTATTTAAAAACTTTTTTTTAGCAATGGAAATATTTGCTATCTTCAACAAGCCAAAGACCCAACAAAGATGCAGCCAGTACTATACTGTGATGATTCCTATGAAGATCTCCAGGAATGGACAGACTGTCAACAGCTTAGAAGCAAATTGGCTGGAGCACATGACAGATCACTTCAGGAAAGGAGGCTTGCTGGTGAACGCCATCTTCAGCCTTGGAATGGTAAATGGTATGGAATTTACTGAAAGCACTACCCTGTGACTCTTTTTCCTTTTAAGGGGCTTATTGTAGTTGAAGAGAAGACATTTGGTAGGTGTTTTTAGGATAAGCCAAAGCAGCTTTTGTTTTTGATCAACCTATTTCAGTGATGGAAATAGCCAAGTACAGGAAATACTTTGGTGATTGAATGAGGAACCCTGAGATCATGCATTATATTTTATGTACATTGTAGAGATGCTTCTGCAATCACAGAAGTATGCAAACACAGATAGCATCAGTTTATTTACACGAGTCAGTTTTTGATCTTTAATCTTTGAAGTTTTAACAAAGAATAGTCTGGTTTTTTAACTACACTCTGGAATCACATACCATACGTGCAGATTACTTGTAGATTTCACTCCCACAGCAGCTCGTGAAATAGTATCTCAACATTTTAAAGCAGTTGAAATAAACTAAGGGAGGCATTTCCTATAAACTGCTCTGCTGTACACTGCTTCTGGGTCTGAGTGTAGGTCACTGCAAAGACACTACTGATTCCGTTTATCCTTTATTTAATCAGTCTGTCTTGGTTCTTATGCAGCACCCATCACCTGAGTACTTCACAAAATTACAAAATGTACATATAAATCTCTCTTTTACTTTGCCTTCTCCGATCTGGAGTGTGTGATGGAGAAGCGAGGTGGTTCATTTATTTTGTTGATGTTACAGTAAGAAGAGTAGATCAAAGAAATGAGTGGTTTTGTTCTGAAAATTAAGCATCGTTGCCAGGATTTGAACCCTCCTCTCTCTTGGTTCCATAACCAGTACTTAGAATATAGTTGGCCACAATGCTTTACTTAAAGTCAAGCCCTCAGCCCTCTTACAGAGAGGGACAATATTAACTTAGGTGTTCAGGACCCAGGAAGGATGGGAAGGAAAAGACGGGCCAAGGGAGGGAAAATATTAGGACAAAAAAAATGTTCCAGCCGTAGATAACAAACTAACTTTCCTGGAAGAATATGGTAGTAGTCCTCTCATGACTAGAGAAATAAGGGCCCGACCCTGTGAATGCTGAGTGCCTTCGCATTCTACTGACTTCACTGAGTTTGCTTAGCCACTCCTCAGTAGTAATTCACTGGATAGAGCACTGATTTGGGGGCACAAGGTTTGTGACAAAGTGAGACAAGGACTACTGCCAGAAGGTTTTCTTCCTCTTTTGCTGCTGGCAAAAGTCTCTTGGCCAATGATAAAACACAAAAAAATTAATGTATCCTGTTAAAATTCAATTGGGAAATTAACAGTCAGTCCTAATTTTTCATTCTGCAACAAATAGCAGCAAAGAGAAGGTCCAAAGTTCACACGATGGAATGCTTTCTCAGAGCTTCCTGGCAAGTCCTGTAATTGGTAGTTAACTTGCTTAGAAACAAATGGTTATTTATTTTGTGTATATAAAAATTGCAATTTATAAAGTATGAGTCACTGAGCCTGATATGCCTAATTATGTCTGCTTTTTAATGCAAGTATTTATTCCTGGTCCCTCATCAGTGTACTGTTAAACACAGCATATGAAAAGTATTCTTTTGTTATTTAAACATTAAAAGTGCTTTTACATAATATTGCTCTGGGGGAGGTTCATGCACTCAGATACTATGTTGGAGTGCTTGGAAAATGCCTACACACAGCAGTGAAGAGGGATTAGAGGGTGAATCTTAAATGTTGGTTATTTTCTAAACAAACAGAATAGTACAGTTAGTTTAGAATTGTGTAAAAATGGCCAGATCCAGAGTTAAGCTAGAGTAAAGGTTGTAAACAGACCATTAATTTGCAATATTATTAGAATTTTATGATTGTGAAAGCAAAAAGTTTGAAAATCAAGAAAAAAGTATGGAAATAATGAATTTAGAACATTGTTGTTGACTCAACCTAAATGTCATGAGGCTTACAAATAGTCAGTATTGTGCCAACACCATCCTTAACTCTGCCGTTCATCCTTGATCACTTTCAATTCCAGGCCATAGACCATCACTGTATAAACTGTGGCTAAATCCACTCCATAGCAGATAGAGGCCTGCCCTTTTACTACCTTCATGGTAAAGGTCAAAGACTACAACATCTAGGTGTCCCTCCTTTCCATGAGATGATAGCACTTGACTCCATCCATTTACTCTCCCAGTATTAGTCTGAAACCTCATATTCCAAACACAGATCAGAAGTCAAATTTTCTATATTCGTCCAGAACTAATGAGTTATGGTCCCTCCATATGCTAATCGCCCTTCTAAGATGGGCTTGAAATCCTCCTGTACCTGAGGAAGGTTGGAAGTGTAGCTGAAGGTTATGTCATTGGAGAACAAAAGACCATATTATTGTGATTCATATATAATATACAAAGATTTTCATGTGACAGCTAGTGCAATTCTTCCACCAGTAAGAAGAGGCTAGATGAAGGCAAATAGACTCATAGATTCATAGACTTTAAGGTCAAAGGGACCATTGTGATCATCTGGTCTGACCCCCTGCATGCTGCAGG